TGAACCTATACAGACAGTTGGGTATCTGTCTTATCACTGAACCTATACAGACTGTTGGGTACCTACTATATCATTGAACCTATACAGACTGTTGGGTACCTACTTTATTATTGAACCTATACAGACAGTTGGGTATCTGTCTTATCACTGAACCTATACAGACTGTTGGGTACCTACTATATCAGTGAACCTATACAAACAGTTGGGTACCTACTTTATTATTGCGTAGATATATCTGAACGTTTTTATTACTGAATGTTCAGTAACAGTTGTTCGCATCTTTAAACCTAATCCCTCTTTTAGATTCTAATATCTTATAATAATTGAATGTTTGATTCTATTTTTGGCCATAGTTCTATCTACTCGGTACAGTTTAACTTATGTTGCTGGTAAAAAGGTTTATTTATTTGGTTTTGTCTGCATTATGTACTTTGGAACTTTATTCCAATACTGAAAGTATTGTTTAATAGTAACACCCACTACCTTAAGTGTTTCGTGTTTACTAGATGTTACATACATTTGTCTACCAGAGACAGTACCGTGCATTGTTTAATAGTAACAGTACTTTGAGTGTTTCGTGTTTACTAGATGTTACATACATTTGTCTAACACGGACAGTATCGTGCATTGTTTAATAGTAACACTCACTATTTTAAGTGTTTCGTGTTTACTAGGTGTTACATACATTTGTCTACCAGAGACAGTACCATGCATTGTATAATAGTAACACTACTTTGAGTGTTTCGTGTTTACTAGATGTTACATACATTTGTCTACCAGAGACAGTACCGTGCATTGTTTGATAGTAACACTACCTTAAGTGTTTTGAGTTTAATAAAGATTGTCTGACAGAAACATTTCCGTGCAATGTATAATTTGTACCAAGAAACTTTTCTTGTAGTTTTTATTCGATGTATAACTGTTGTTTATTGTTCTTGTTTTCAGGGAGGTATTCACCTATTGGCTATCATAGACAAGTACGCCATTGGTTGGCCAGCTTTAATCATTTGTTTGTTAGAATGTGGCGGAATAATGTGGTTGTATGGCAAGTATATTATCATTATACCTCTTGAGTTTATTTAATAGATTTCAAGCACTGTATCCTTGTTGATAATGCTTGGAGACAGCTTCAAATGGTAATGAAGCCATTCAAGCATGATAAGTCTCAAAGTGGGTTCTTCGTCATCGAATTTGTATCCTTATTGGTCCATTGAATTTATATTTTACAAGCACAGTTTCCTTATTGGTCTACTGATTTTATAGTTAACAATCACTGTATCCTTATTGGTCCCATGAGTTTATAGTTAACAAACGCTATATCGTTATTAGTCTATTGAGTTTATATTGTACAAACACTGTTTCCTTATTGGTCCATTGAGCTCATATTTTAAAAGCACTAAAGCCTTATTGGTCCACTGAGTTTGTAGTTTACATGCACTGCTTCCTTACTGGTCAATTTAGTTTATAGTTTACAAGTACTGCTTCCTTACTGGTCAATTTAGTTTATAGTTTATAAGTACTGCTTCCTTACAGGTCAATTTAGTTTATAGTTTACAAGTACTGCTTCCTTACTGGTCAATTTAGTTTATAGTTTACAAGTACTGCTTCCTTATTGGTCAATTGAGTTTATAGTTTACAAACACTATATCCTTATTGGTCCACTTGAATTATCTATTTATTCGTCGACTAAGTTCACATTTTATAATCCTTGTTTTATTGTTTAGTTATTGAGTTTTGGTAATGTACAAGTACTTATCTATTACTGGTTGACAAAGTTTACAAGTCCTTTTATTGGACAACTTAAATATCTTACTCAACTAAGCTCATAATTTTCAAACACTGTCCTTTTTTCCCTAATGAGTTGAAGTCAAGAACTGTTCCATTATTTGTCAACTGTTATAATCAACTAGTTATTACTCGTTTCATAGTAAACCAATAAAATGCACTGAAATGTGTATTCTACAATATGTTACTACATTATCGCACCGTCGAATGATAATTCAGAGTTTCGTTTATTTTACGTTATCTGGATCTTAGAATAATTTATCAGTATTTGAAAAACGTCACTACATTACCTGCATCCCAGTATAGCAGTTAGTATTTGGAATACGTTACTACATTACCTGCATCCCAGTATAGCAGTTAGTATTTGGAATACGTTACTACATTACCTGCATCCCAGTATAGCAGTTAGTATTTGGAATACGTCACTACATTACCTGCATCCCAGTATAGCAGTTAGTATTTGGAATATGTTAGTAAATTATCTGGATCCTAGAATAAGAGTCAGTGTTTGGAATATGTTAGTAAATTATCTGGATCCTAAAATAAGAGTCAGTGTTTGGAATATGTTAGTAAATTATCTGGATCCTAAAATAAGAGTCAGTATTTGGAATATGTTAGTAAATTATTAGGATCATAGAATGATAATTCACTTTTGCAAACATCCAACAACCACAAAACTAGATTCAAAGTTGATGTTTCAGCAGTGAGAAAATACAAAACTAAATATAAACTATATTTAAAGGCCTTACTTATATTCTGTCTGTTCTGAATTTTACAAACCACTAACAAAGATATCTCAAAGATTTACAACTTCTCAGTGACCACAGATGTCACCATGGTACATACAATAGTTTCACAACTTCTCAATGACCAATGATATCACCAAGGTACAGACAGTAGTTTCACCACTTCTCAGTGACCACAGATGTCACCAAGGTATAGACAATAGTTTCACCACTTCTCAGTGACCACAGATGTCACCAAGGTATAGACAATAGTTTCACCACTTCTCAGTGACCACAGATGTCACCAAGGTATAAACAGTAGTTTCACCACTTCTCAGTGACCACAGATGTAACCGAGGTACATACAATTGTTTTAACACTTCTCAGTGACCACAGATGTCACCAAGGTATAGACAGTAGTTTCACCACTTCTCAGTGACCACAGATGTCACCAAGGTATAGACAATAGTTTCACCACTTCTCAGTGACCACAGATGTCACCAAGGTATAAACAGTAGTTTCACCACTTCTCAGTGACCACAGAAGTCACCAAGGTATAGACAATAGTTTCACCACTTCTCAGTGACCATTAATGTAATTAAAGTACACCTCTTCACAGATGTCACCGAGGTACATACAATTGTTTTAACACTTCTCAGTGACCACAGATGTCACTAAGGTACAGACAGTAGTTGCACAACTTTTCAGTGACCATGGATGTCACCAAGATACAGCCACTAGTTTCACAGCTTCTTGGTGACCATGAGTGTCATTAAAATACAGACAATAGTTTCACCATATCTCACTGACCACACACGTCACCAAGGGCCAGAAAGTAGTTTCACCACTTTTTAGTGACCATGTTAAACGCAGGTTCTACGAGTGAATGAACAGTTATTGAAATTGTAATTGAAAATTTTGTTAACACGGTAGTTTTAATTTTGGTGAATTTCCGAGTAAATTGTTCAAAATATATATATATGTATATCAAAAAAGATCTTATGTGGACATAAATGTCATTTTAGGTGCTTCTAACTTCTTTGACGATATCTGCATCCTTAACGAAAGACATCCTCGAATTTGGAGATATATATGGAAGATAGTAACTCCCTTTGTCATGTTGGTAAGTGTGAGAATACTGATTACAAAATTCACCCCTAAAGGTGTACCCATAAATAAATAAATGTTTGTAGTGGAATCGTTGAATACATTTCATAATTATTCTAAGTTCTCGATTTCTAAAGTGATAAAAACCATTTTGTTTCACTGATAATATTTACAGAAAGCTAGTTTCATATTATGACTTTAAGTCCATTGTATTACAAAACAACAAGCTATGGTTTAGTGTTATAATTTTAAACTCCACAAACCAGTGGAGCAAAGCAAGTAACAAGCTTTATATTCATAATATAATATGCCATCTCAGTCACCATGATGGTGCAGCGCAGCTGAGGAGACATGGAGTTGAACAATAGTCATTTAAGCAGTGACTTGTAGTGGACAAAATTATACATATAAAATTTTAAAACGATCATGGTCTAAATAAGAGGCATATGAAGAACGAATGTAAGTAGTAAAGTTAGATAGGAATCAATGAACACACCGATAACGACGTTAGAACCTTTGAATTTTTGTCCTCAGTGTGAAAACAACCTTGTCTAATTCTCCTTTCATCTCTGTCTGGCAGTTCATTTTTCATTTACTCAAACTTTACTCAGGAGATGATAGACAGAAGTTTACTCTTTTAAAAATATGATGTCTAAATCAGTTGGTAGGGCATCTGTAAAATATGATGTGTAAATCAGTTGGTAGGGCATCTGTAAAATATATTTACACATCATATTTTACAGATGCCCTACCAACTGATTTACACATCATATTTTACAGATGCCCTACCAACTGATTTACACATCATATTTTACAGATGCCCTACCAACTGATTTACACATCATATTTTACAGATGCCCTACCAACTGATTTACACATCCAGTTGGTAATCTAAATAAAACGTAATGTTATGTATTCAACCCATATCTTTTTTTGCAGATAGTCCTTCTCTACACACTATTTGGCCATGAACAAACCCTAGGTCACGACAACCATCACCGTCGTCTCAGCCTTATAATTGGATGGATCTTGTTTATCATAGTTATAGCTGCTATTCCCATATGCGCTATTTACCTACTTGTCACTAAAATCTTATCAAAACAGACAGACAAAAAGGTAAAAATAATCTCAATATTATTTTGGATTATTTAATCTAAGAGTTTCTGTTTCATGATGAAATTCACGATGGGTCTCCCACATTGTGGATTTTATTTGGGAACTTGGGACTAGCATGTACTTGTCTGGAAACTAGTAATGAAGATGTGCAATTTGTATGTAGAGTTTTTAGGTTGAGGGAGAAGTTAGAGGCTATCATAACTAAAGTAGAGGCACTAGATAAAGAGAAGTGTAGACTGTGGGAAATGGCAGCAGGATTTCAGGAGGATCTTAAGCTTTTACATGCAAGGAATACATCAGTTAACAATAACTTTCAGGAAGTTAGAAACAGTACTATTAGAGTAAAAAGTGGTGAATTTAGTTATAATGAGCCTATTCTGTTGAACAACAGATTTCAGTCCTTGACTTCTGCAGATGAGGAACTATTGGAGGGAATGAAAACAAAAGGGTCAGACAAGGACGTGGAGGTCATAGTTATAGGTGATTCTTTGATAAGGCATGTGGATAGAATAGTCTGTGGGGTATATAAGGAGAAAAGAATCATATTATACTACCCAGGGGCACAGTTGGAGGATATAACCAACAGAGCAAGAGATATAACAAAGGGGGCTAGCAGAGATGCAGTTTTTGTGGTGCATATAGGGGCTAATGATGTAGGGAAAGGTAAGTCAGAGGAGCTAATTAATAAGTATAAGGGGTTGATAAAGGTATTTAAGAAAAAGACCATAACTTAATTTTGTCAAGGATACTGTCCAGAATTAACTGTGGGGATGAAATTATAAGTAGGTCACTAGGGCTAAATGTTAGGCTTAGGTTAGTATGTAAGGATGAGCAGATTGGCTGGTTGTACTTGTGGGATCAGTTCAGTGAAAGACGGGAGCTCTTTTGAATGGATGGTTTACATACAAATAGAGTTGGGACTGGCTTGTTTGCTAAGGCTTTTAACTCAGCTATGAAGGAAGTTTTAAATTAGCAACAGACAGTGGTGAGAGCCACGATAAACTAACTACAAAAAGAATAAGAGGCAGAGAAAAGTTTAGCATAGGAAATGATTATAGAAGTAGTTATAAGGATAGGCTTAATTGTTACTATTGTAATGTTAGAAGTATAAGAAATAAAATAGATGACTTTAGAG